CCAGAAGTCCCTCCCCTTGGCCCCTGGAATTACTCCTTTTGGGAGGGGCATTGCCATCTTAGAACCAGAAAAAAACCTAAATCATACACTAAAAGTCAAACATCTACTATAACATATTTTGATTTTATTACAAAAAATATTTTTGTCATGATTTGTGTTTGCATACTGTATATAGAGGTGACTGCATAATAACTCAAAAATAAATCCTAGTTTTGTATATTCTGAGGGGTGTATGGTGGGGTTTGGGTGTGGTGTGGTGTGTGCATGTGTATGTATGGTGGGGTGTGGGAGTATGTTGGGGGTATGGCAGGATGTGGGTGCGTGTGTGAGGAGGTTGTGAGGGGGTGTGGATGTGTGTGGGGGGCATAGGGTATATTGGGAGTTGTGTATATATGGGGGGTTGTGGGAGAAGGTTGTGGGTGTGTGAGGGAGGGTGCAGGGGTATGGGGACCCCCCTCAACTCCCTCCATGGCACAGCAGCAGCAGGCAGGGTTCTCAAGATGCAGGTGCTCAGTGGGATGCAGCTCCGGCCAGTGCTGCACATCGTAGCGAGGGTTGCAACCTCCCCTGGGCTGTCTGTATTGCTGGTGCTCCCTGCCACTCACACGTAGCCCCTGCGCTCACACAGCAGAGAGGGAAGCTCCAAATGCTAGAGCCAGCTGCCTTCCCTGCCAGGGCTGTGCAGTACAGGAGAGAAGCTTCAGGCATTGGAGTTGGCTGCCTTCCCCATTAGGGCTGTGCTGCAGGGGAGAGAAGCCCTAGGCACCTTCCCTTGTGGGGTGGGGAAAGTAGCCAGCTTCAGCACCTGAGGTTTCTCTCCTACGCTGTGCAGCCCCAGTGGGAAAAGCAGCCAGCTCCAGCACCTGGTGCTTCCCTCCCATGCTGTGGGAGTGCAGGGGCTGTGCATGAGTGGTAGGGAGAGCCAGCAATATGGACTGCCTGGTGGAGGTTGTGCCCCTTGCTACAATGTGCAGTGCTGGTTGGAGGGGGGTTCCCTCAACCCCCACCCTCCCTCATGCCCACACACTGCCCACCCAAGCTTTGCACTGCTGCCGACCCCTGGGCGCATGCTCCATGCTGCTGCCAGCCTCAGTCCCATGCTCCAAGCTCCTGCCCAGATGCAGCTGCCCCTGCTGCTTCCCTACCTGCTGCTTGGAGCCAGCAGGAGACCAGGGAAGTAGAGCAGATCCCTGGGGGTTGCAGCAGCTACAGCAGTAGCCCCACACAGAAATTGCATGCTGGCTGGCTGGGCTCTTCCACCCACGAGGCAATAGGGTATGTTTGGGGCTGTGTGTACATGTGAGTGCCTTGCTCCCACCCTTTTGGGAGGAAAGGCTGGGTGGGGTACAACATGTTGGTGGGCACTGCGGGCTGTATGAAAGAGCTTGGTGGGCCAGATCTGGGCCATGGGCCGTATTTTGTCCACCCCGTCTTAGGGTGTTTTTGGTGACATTTATGCCATTTATCAAATACATTGTGTATTTTTATCAATCCTAAGCTTATATATAAATTCAAAATATGGCTCAGCTCACAATGCAATGCTTAATACCACACACATTTTACTAATATGGAGTGGTTGACGCAGAGAAAAAGGCAGAGATCTTCAATGAGTTCTTTGCTTCAGTATTCCTTAATACTGACCAAGACAATTCCCCCACCTTGAGCATAGACAGATGTCCAAAAGGCACCAGACCACCAAAGGTTAGTGCTGCCTTAGTTAAAGAGCACTTGGAAGGTTCTGGATGGGTATCAGCCGGCCCAGATGACCTCCATCCACGGGTGCTGAAGAAATTGGCCAGTGTCATTGCTGAGCCACTGCCACAGCTGTGGTGTGGCACAGCTCTCATGGTGCTCTAGCCAGGTGCCTGAGGACTGGAAAAAGGCCAATGTGGTGCCCATTTTTAAGAAGGGAAGAAGGGATAAGCCGGGTAACTTTAGGCAAGTCAGTCTTACCTCTATCCCTGGGAAAATACTGGAAAAAAATCATCAAAGAGCACATTTGTGAAGGCCCAGCAGGGGAAACAATGCTAAAAGGAAACCAGCATGGGTTCGTCACAGGTAGATCCTGCCTGACAAACCTTATAGCCTTTTATGACCAGGCACACACTGCCTTGACATAGGAGCTGAGGCTGATGTCACCTACCTGGATTTTAGGAAGGCCTTTGACACAGTTTCACATCCTATTCTCATAGGGAAGCTAATGGGCTGCGGAGTGGATGCCTAGACAATCAGGTGGGTGGCTAACTGGCTTAGGGACTGCACCCAGAGAGTGGTGGTGGTTGGGTTGTTCTTGGCCTGGAAGGAGGTGGGCAGTGGGGCCCCACAGGGTTTGGTCCTTGGACCGGTATTATTTAATATCTTCATCAGTGATTTGGATGGGGGTGTGGAGAGCACCCTCGCCAAGTTCGTAGATGATACCAAGTTATGGGGCAAAGTTAATACACTGGAGGGCAGGGAGCAGATACAGGCCAACCTGGACAGGTTAGATCAATAGGCGGAATGAAATAGGATGAAATTCAAGAAAGATAAATGTAAGGTACTCCACCTAGGAAGGAGGAATCCCCAGCACACCTACAGGTTGGGGACGACCTCCTCAGCAGCTCAGAGAGATGTTGGAGTCATAGTTGACTCCATGATGAACATGAGCCAGCAGTGTAATGAGGCCATCAACAAAGCCAATCTCACCTTGTCGTGTATTAGCAAATGCATGACCAACAGATTGATGGAGGTGATGCTCCCCCTCTATTCAGCATTAGTCAGGCTGCAGTTGGAGTACTGTGTCCAGTTTTGGGCACTGCACTTCAAGAGGGACACGGAGAATCTGGAGAGGGTTCAGAGGAGGACCACTCATATGATTAGTGGTCTCTGAGAAAGATCCTACGAGGAGAGGTTGAGAGATCTGGATCTCTTCAGCCTTTGCAAAAGACGACTGAGGGGTGACCTTGTAGCCACCTATAAGTTTATCAGGGGAGGACAGCAGGGAATTGGGGATGTGCTGTTTACCAGAGTGCCCCAGGGAGTAACTAGGAATAATGGGTGCAAACTAATGGAGAATAGATATAGGTAAGACATTAGGAAGAATTTTTTTACAGTAAGGGTGGCCAGAGTCTGGAATGGACTTCCAAGAGAGGTGGTCTTCAAGAGAAGGCTTGACAATCACCTGGCTGGGGTCATCTGACCTCGGTCCTCTTTCCTGCCAGGGGCAGGGGGTTGGACACGATGATCCATTGGGTCCCTTCCGACTCTATAATCTATGAATCTATGAATACTACAGAGGAAGACAAGACATAAAGGCCAAGTACAGACATTACATGTTTACTGAGATAAGTGATCGGAAACCAGTCTAAACCCATAACAAGAAGTTCAGCATATATAGACTGGTTTAAAAATGGTGGAACCTGGTCTAAGATAGGCAACCTCTGTGCCCCTCGCCCCACCAAAGGGCAAATGTGTGTTCAGTTTACTACCAATCTAAACAATATTGCTTACAGAAAACTGCATAACTTAGACTGATTCTGCCTTGGGCTTTTTGAATGTCTGTAATTAGCTATACTGACAAAGCTTCTAAATAATATACTTTTTAAGTGTTTTCTATGCTGAACCAGGTATACATTAGGTGCCTGCGCAAAAGGCTGTGGCCAGATCCTTAGTTGATGTATACTAGCATAACTCCATTGCTTTCAAATGGATTTTGCCAGTTGAAAATCTAGCCCTAGAATTTAACTTAAAAAAAATTGCCTATGTTGTTGTTCCATTTGCTGAGAAATGGTGAAAACATTTATATGTTTCTGGCTCAGGTTTTTTATTTCAATAAGCTTCTAGTTGGCTGATCATTTCACTACCAAGGCTGCAGCTCATGCAATCTGTTAATGAGGAAAACATGTGGACTTGGAAACTTTACTTGTTTCTTACTCAGAGAGGTAAACTCTTCAGGTTGTCTCTTTTTTTGTGCTTGTACAGTGCATTTATTTGTATTTTTGTATCATTGTAGTGCTGGTAAGATATATACTGTATAGATGTATAATAAACAGATGCCTATTCCAGAGACCTCATAATCCTGATCATGGCCATTGGGCACTAAAATAATATACTTATGTACTATTGAAGTATTTTTGTTCTGTAGTGTTGCAAGGATTTTATTAATGTATTTCTAGACTTGGTTGCCAGAGTAATACTAGACCACAATGTCTAGTGCAAAGTGCAGGTAGACAGTGGAATAAGGTAAAAGAAAACTTTCCCTTCCTGAATTACATGCAAGGACCAGGCAAGTTAATAGTCTTTTTTCTCAGGCAAATGCAGGAGTAGCTTTCTTTTTGCACTCCCAGAAATTCACATCATACACATGGGGGCAGGGAAACTGGCCCACAGCCCAATCCCTCTGTGTATGAGACTGCAGAGAATATACATGCCTCCCACACACCAGGAAGCTGGGAGGGGAGATGTGGCTCTTGAGGCAGTGTCCATCCCAGAACTCTTGTGCTGTGTTGTGACCATCTCAAGGTTGTCAGAAACAGTCTGGCCCTTTCTGATTATACCATGCCCTCATCCCCCAACCCGCCCCTTCCCTTCCCTTTAATCACATTCTAAGAAACAGTGCAGAGAGACGAGCATCTATGTAAAACAAATTTGAAATGTTGGGTTACGTGATAGAGAAAAAAAGCACTGACTGGAAATGCATGTGAAATGAAGGGCAATAGGAAGTGCAGACATTGTATATGCTGTTCTATATGCATCAACTATACCTTGCTGTCCCAGTGAGGGCCTTTACTTATTAGAGTGGGGAGGGAAAGTAAGTGACGTTTTCGTGACAGAAACACATGGAATAATGTTCAAAAGAGCATTCTTTTCCTTTTTTCATCCTAAATAAACATGGAACAGTCAGAATATAAATTGTGTTAACACTAGCAAACACTTGACCATCTTTAAAGTTTAATCTGACAATAAGATGCTCTGGTTAATTCCTAAATGGGTTTAATTGATTAGTTGCACTTTTTTTTTCCAGGAACTATGTCATCTTGCCTCATGACATCACTGAAGATTAGGTCAGTATCATATTATAACCACATTTTCAAGAGATACATTTTAACCTTGGCATGTTTCAGATTGTTTTACTAATATACCAAGAAGTCTTAGAAAAAAAATGCAAAAACTTGTAGTTCTGGCTATAGGATATACTTATTTCATACTTAGTTCTGAACACTTGATTATTTTTTCCCTTGGGTTGCCAGAGACAAATAAATTCCAGTTTGTATTAGGATCAGGATGAGGAAATAATACAAATACCAGGAGGAAAGAACTATCTCTTCACAGAGACACCACTCAACCTGGAGTTCCTGTGAAGCCCTGAATTCCCATGGTAGGCAAGAAGGCCTAGAGAAACAAACTAAATAGGTGTTCAGGAACCAGATCCCACACCAGCTATCATTCTATAACTTAGTTCCCCCTGCTTGTAGAGATCACTTCCATAGTATCCTGCCTTATCACTGGCTGGTCCAGAAAATGTTGACTATACACAAATTTATATTACATACAAGTGTTTAACAGAGTGTGGATTCTGCTTTATGGGTGCATTTACACATGCAATTAATGTACAGGAATAAACTCTGGAGCTTATTACTCTGGAGTTTTTTGCTTCTGGGTATACCATTTGAATGTGCTCCCAGGAGCAACAAACTCCAGAGTATATTGCTCTGTAGTTTATTCATGCATAGCACATTGAGCCTGGTCAGAGCAGCCCTGGCTGGTAGCAGCCCAGATCTGCTACGACTGGCTTAATGTGCTGCGGAGGGGCTGGTTGGGGCATGAGGGTACTTCAGTCGGGGGCTAGCTGACAGGCAGCCCCCAAACTGAAGCACCCTCATGCCCCAGCCAGCCAGGCAGTATCTACATGTGTGCTGCTGCACACAAAAATCCTCTGGGTTTTTTTTTAAGTTTCGTGTTTTATTACTTTTGGAGTTTATTAGTTTTGCGCACCCTAACAGGGGCACATGTGTAGAAATGGAGATGTTTACTGTGGAGTTAATTAGGCAGCTCTGCAGGAAATGTCTCGTGTAGATGCACCCTATGACAGGTAGCTTAGGTTCACCCAAAGCCTATTTTATTTGGAGAGAAAAAGACAGGAACTTAGAATGTTACAAAGTGATAGCTGTAGAAGAATGAACTCCAGGTTCTTCACAAAAGTTTTATTGACTTTGATTTTATACTTTCTTTTAGGCCCTTCAAAATTCTACTGAACCATCAGGAGCTCTAGTGGAAGAGACTTCAGATGATTCTCTATAGAAGGTTTTCCCCACTTATTTATTTAAAATGCTTTGTTCCAGGCCTACAGCTTCATAGGCTACCCAAAAAGACACGTACATGATCTAGACACCAACCTTATAGAGGTTGGAGACGCTCACTCATAGGGGATGGCTTTAGTTCCTCCTACTCTCCCCCTAACTGTATCCTCATTAGGGGGATATTTATTTTTAAAGACACACAGATTTTGTATATAAAAAAATTATCCTCAGTGTGTAGTTCCCTACTGACCTCATGAAAAGACAACGAGGTCAATGTCTTGATAGCTCAATCCAGCTTGCTATTTATGACCTGTTGTTATTCATGGTTCTTCTCATTGCTACTTTTTGACCAACTAATACCAGGAAGAACCCCAGGGGTAATGCTTAGGAATTATTTAGTTTCTGAGGTTATGAGTAGTGCCATAGAGATTGAAGATCCCAGTATACTGACAACTAACATAATTTTGCATAATAGAGGAAATCTTGGTAAAAAAAATAGAGTCCTCCCACCTGATCCTCATTTGTCTCTTTCTCTTATTCCATATGAAAAGATCTTTGGGTAAGAAATGTTGCTACAGTTCTATGGAGCACCAAGTATATTGGGGCTTGCAATATACATAATAATAATAGCTTGTTTTACAAAGGTTGCAAGCACTTTGAGATTCTTTCATATGCCATGTAGTTAACAGCTTCCTCAACCTTCTTTTAAACATGGAGAGCTACTCTTGTTTATAGCTACTAGAATTGCCCAGCTTTGCTACTGTTACATTTTGTACTTGTGTAGTCATGTTCAAGGGTAAATTCTTGGCATTTATATTAGGTGGGGAGTGTAAAACTGGGTGGACTATCACGGAGCACAACTCCTTTATGAACTTATTTTGCTACAGTATATCATATCTTGACACAAAAGGTTGCTCATTAACTAGACTTGTGACTACATGTTACTTTAATTGTTTTTATTTGGCTCTCTGCATGGCCAGGGGCCTTTGCTATTTATTAATAAACATTACATTAATTTTCCATTGTTCCTGGTCTTAAGATAGTGTGGGTCAAACTGGAGTCTCATGGATCCCACTGGAAAACAAGACCAAACAATAATGCCATGTCGCATCAGGAAGTGATGTCAGTAGCTGGAGTTTTGCTTCCAAACTTTTGTGTTTAACTTGACTTGTAAAGCTGTTTTCCTATGTGAAACCATAGGCATAATACTTGTGGGAATGACTGAGGACAAACATTTTGCAGTTTTACTGACTATCAATGCATCATTCTTTGACAGACTATTAACAATCTGTTGACCTACGTAAAAATTGGAGTTTCAGGGAAAAAGAAAGCATCCCGTGTCTGCTTATCGATAAAATGCTCACGCTGCATAGATACATGAGTATATTGGATTGAGCTGCTCATGGTTAACACATTCAAGAGCCTACTTATTGTCAATATCTGACCCAAAACTAATGATTCATGTTCCAAAGAAAATGCTGCTTTTATATTTTTCCACCAATCCAGTCTCTCACCACAGACCTGAGTTTATTCCCCCAACTACTGCTCTACATCTGGGTGACATGAGAGATAATTGCAGGACGCTTACAGTCCTGATAAACTATGGTTTCCCCTGCTCTGCAGCCCTTTGAAGTTGCAGACAGTTTCATGATAATTGATAATCTAATCTCTTCCCAGCCTGTGTTTGTGTGGTGGGTTTTTTTTTTTAAAGGCTGCTCTGAAACAGCAAGAAGGGGAAATATTACAGCATAAGTATTGATTGCTGCATGCAGAGGTCACTGTGTGGGGACTACACTTTTATCACAGGGTTCTTGTGAAAGGTGAAGTGCTGGCAAGATCCTAATAATAACTGCAGAGTGCTAGTTAAATATGGGGGGCGGGGGGAGGAAAACAATTTTTTATTCTTAGTACCTCAAGGCTATACATGGCAATTACTATTGCGGAGGCAATAAAGAAGTTGTTAATTACAGGTTTTATACCCTTGTAGCCCAAAGTGGGAATGAAAGGACTAAAGGTTACAAAGTGGTACTGAAGAAGGAAGGAAGGAAAGAGAGTTGCTTGGGATGGTTTTTTTCTGTAGTGAAATAAGTTACTTACTGTATAGTTACTGCAACCCAGTTTGCTAAAGGAAAAAAAAATACTTGAAAACTTAGAGAAATTAAACAAGCCATGAAATCTGCCTTATTTTCAGTGCCACCGTATTTTTCCTTTAATGAAATGATTAGCTGACATCCTCCAGATGCACTAATATTGTTCTCTGGGACAGAGCTGTTGTGTTATGACATCATGTGAGATTTATGTTGGAATGCTGCCATGCCATGGTGTGTCTCGGTCCTAATATGTTTTAGGGTTGTTTTAAGACCCTACATGGTATGAAATGGTAGATCTAATGTCATTAGTTCCTCTTTGATATAAAGGAAAGGTGGTTACTTTTTGTCAAATGTGCTTTATAAGCATGATCTATGATGATAACCAAATATATATCTATATTTATGTATTTATACACATATATACACAAGGGTATTTCAGAAGGTTACAGCAGTTTCAAAATAAAACCACTATGTGCAATGAGTGAGAAACTATGCAGCAATGGGGAAACACTGATGGCAGGCAGCATTGTCAAACACACCCATCACTTATGACTATGCAGAGGAGCGATATGATCCAGTAAATGATTACTTGACACAAAATGGCTTTATTTTGAAATTGCTATTACTTTCTGAAACACCCTTGTATTTAGCAGAGGTCATTTTTTGGAAAAGGGGAAAACATCCATTATATTGTAGGGGATTACAGGCTCCTTCCTCTGTGGTAAGTGATATTCATGAGAATTTATAGTACTGTACAACATGTTAACTAGGGGCATGTAATTTTCTGAATGCTGACAGGGATAAATATATGCGCCTGCACACACACAAAACTCACACATACTTAATGAGAGCAAAATTAAAGTCTTCTGAAATGAGCCTGATTGATTAAAACTCAACAGACCCATACAAATATGACCACTAATACACCTGGCTCATAAAACACTTTCAACCTGTGTCTTTTAAAGGGAAATAGAAACCAGTACATGTACCGCCTCATGACCACTATTTTTAGACACTGGGCTAAATCCTGAGCTCGGTCAGGGAGAGGTGCAGTTGGCTCTAAGACATCTTTTCTTCCTTTTCTACCTTGGAGGCTAGAGCACGTTAGAGCAATGTAAAGACTCCTCTGACTTGAGCCAGGTTACAGTGCTCTAGTAGGGTTTGCTGGCTTATAATAGATTGCAGGCAGACCCCACACTTTCACACCTCAGTGGGCACATCTACACGTGCAATTAATGTGCAGCCAGCCAGGCAGTGCCTACATGTGTGCTGCTGCACATGAAACAACTCTGTAGCAGGCTAGTACTTTTATTTACATGTACATGTACTAGCCTGCTCCAGAATTCATTAGCTTTGTGATCCCTAATAGGGGCATGTGTATAGATGTGTACTAGGGCTGTGAAAAGCGTTGGTCACTGATATGATTTGGTAGAGATTCAGTCTGATTTGGCGGCTGAATCTCTGAATCTGAATTGGATCAGTAGACCCTTTAACCTCTCCGAATCGAATCGGAACCAATCTGAATCGATTCAGAGAGATTCAATGGTTTGGACATGGACACAGCTTTAAATGTTTTTTTCTACATACCTCAAGGTACCAGGCAGCTCATGAACACTGAGATGGTGGGGTGGATGGAGCATCCCACGGGACTGTGGGGGGGTCCCCAGTGTGCTGGGTGGCAGACCTGGAAGTGGACCAGAAGCACTTCTGGTCCACTTCCAGGTTTGCAGCAGAGCACATGGGGGACCCCACCCCTACCCCCCCAGCTCAGCAATGGGTGCCTCCTGGATCTGGGGGGGCACCCGGGGTCCCCCCATGGCTGATCGTCAAGCCAGAGGGGCATGGGGGGCAAGCCCCCCATGAGCTCCTGTGGGACGCTTCATCTACCCCACCATCGCAGTGTTCACAAGCTGTGCCTGGTACCTTGAGGTATGTAGAAAAAAACATTTAAAGCTGTGTCTGTGGCCAAATTGCTGATTCTCTGAATCAGCATCGAATCTTCAGATTTGGATTTATCCAAATTGAATTAGGACAGTGATCCGAATCAACGAATCAAATCATTGTCCCCAATTCAGGCCTAATCTGAATCTGAATCAAATATGGCCCGTTTTGCACACCTCTAATGTGTACTGCACAGCTAATTAAACAGCTCTACAGTGAATGTCTCATGTAGACGTGCTCAGTAGCACTCTACACTTGAGTGAAAAGTGGCAGACATAGAGCCAACTCCAAACCAGTGGAGGTTTTCTGCCACTGTCCATTTCAGATTGGGCTATTATTTTTAGTACGGATGTTTCCTTTCGGGTACTATCCCATGTCTAAATTTGACAGGGAATGGATCTTTCAAGGGAGCCTTTTCCCCTAATCTTCCTCATAAATCAGATGCAGATGAGAAATACCGTGATATTTCAGAAGACACCTGGCTGGTGGCATCTCAGCCCAGCATATGGCTTGTTAGTTTTGACATATATTTCCGCTCACCCATCTTTTTCCAATCGTGTCTACTTCTGTTTTGTTGTATTGCTTTCTTTAACTGTCCAATCCTTGTTTTTCATTTAGTATTTGGTAAAGCTAGTACCAGGTGTGCAGTCAGGGGCACGTGTAGATGGACCAACTAAGTAGAATGTTGCCTGGCAGAAGCCCACACCTCTGAGTGAGTTAGTCTGTAAGGTAGAGCCCTGCCCTGCTTTTTATCTCTTTTTGTAACACAGGATAACTTTCTCCTATACATGGTATCTCCCTGAGTTCCTTTTCCTCTTTGTAGACTCCCACCTTCCCATCACGTTTTCCCTGTAATCTTTCTTCTCGTTTTCTCCCCTTTGCTCTCACCCCAGATCAGACACAGCAAGTACAAGGATAATCATAAAAGCTGTGTGTGTTTCCGGACTTACACCAATGAACCAATAAAAGGAAC